TCACCGGGATGCGAACTGGCGACCTTCTAGCTGCGAGGCAACAGCTCTATCTTGCAGCCCTCATTCAATATTTGCCGATATAATTTAATCTTGACCAAGGTCGTAGACAATGGAACAACCGACTGCCCTTACTGTTCCTGGAGCCATGCCACGAAATATTGAAAAGGAAAAAGTCTCATGCAGCATTATATGTAATATGGACTGCCCAATATTCTATTTTCCAACATTATCCAGAAAGGTACTCTGACTATGACTCAGTCCCATATTTGCATCCCATTTTAGGGTTCAATTTGGGTCTAATTTTAGTCACTCCTGACTTGATAAAACACTTGACAGAACACGAGGGACATGAAGCCACATGCAAACTGTAATAAATGATACCACTGGTCAATTAAAACGTGACTCACTTTGAAACAGAAAATGACTTCAGTGTTTGACTACAAGTAAAGGAAAGCTCTCACTTGTAAGCACATGCTGGAAGAGAACAGAGTTTTTGCTGCTGCTCTCCCTAAAAACTACAACTCAGCCTCAATTAGTTTTGACTTATCTGCTCATCAGCCAACAGCTCACTATGAAGTAAAACCACTACTCTTTAATGCATAACACAACTCATCATCTTCCTGCCAGGCTGATCAAAAATTTAAGCTGAGTGGATTTATATTTAATTTTAAATTCCAAACCACCACCTACAGTCTGGACTTTCTCCTCTGCCTCTATCTTCTTTCACCCCCTTCTCTACTTTCTCTTTGACACCAAGTCTGATGAGTCCACTGACCTGGAACATACCTACAGCAAGGACGACACCACACCAGAGCTAGGATTTACACTTCACTATGTGTGGGGTTTTTCTATATGTGTGTGTGATCATTGCAGCGCAAATAGGATTTGGGAGGAGAAGCAGGAGGAGGTGGGGAGCAGATGAGCAGCTCGCTGATGAGATTCCAAGGGGAATGATATTACATCAAGGTATAAAGTATGTGTTTGTAAGTGTGTGGGTGTGCAGGGATCGCCTCCATCCTCGAATGTTGAAACAGACAGACAGAGTGCGGTGGTGGGTCGACGGTGTACGAGACAACTGTGACTCTGTGGTAATTTATGATCAGACTGACGGAATCATCCATCAGGCCAGCTGTGCTTTGTTCGCTAAACCAAGATCAATAACCTTGTCGGGCTTCACAGGAGAGAGTGTAAGTGGCCCACTGCTCTGGTGTTGCAGAGCCCAAGAGGAGGCTGCTGGGTAATACTGAGAGAGGCCAGGGGGCAGAAGGAAGTGTTCGAGTGTGAGTGAGAAAAAGTGTGTTAAAAGTACAAGGTGCCGGATGTACAGCCTGAGGATAGCTCATTCCACAGAGTTCACACAAGAGATAGCAATTTAAAGTGTGAGAGGGGACTCATCATCTCACCTTTTATTGGATTCATTCACATCAGATTTACCCTGACGGCAAGTGAATTGAACCTAACTGCAGTGAATTATTCTTTTTTCATTTGTTTGTTGGTTGTCAGTGTTGGTGGGTGTGCATTTGCAGTACGGGTAGTCACAGCGTGAATTAAACACCTTAACCAGACAGTAGGAGCGTAA